ATCATGAAAGGTTCATGAAAACTGTATCTATCCAATCCAACTTCTTTGACAGCATCTTTGGAACAAAAGAACAGGCCCAGACTGTAGCTTACAGACAATGAATGTCTCTTGCTAATACAACATTATACTCCTCAGTAAAGCAAACACTTTCATACATTAAAGACTGCTGACTTTGCATAGCTTTTATTACTTTTACTTTCTTTCTGCTTTCTACCTTGCTTTGTTGCTGTGCTTCTTTCACAGATTGACATGTTCCCTTTGGTATAATCATAATTTATTGTGAGTACTTTTTAACCAAGGTAACTAAATATTATTTGGTTTATTGACTTTGCATTGAAAGTGTGTTTTGTTCATGTTCAGTGTATGGCTCATGTTTAATTAAAATTCTAATTCAGTGATGGCTTTAAATCCAGTGACATTTTCTTTGTTCTCCGGTTTGGGCTATTTTTTAAATTCCAATTTTACTGTAAAAGTACTTGCTCCCAAAGGTGTAGAATTTGATGTAACTCAAATTTGGTTTGGTTATTTAAAGATATAGTTTTACTGAGCTATGCATAAACTGTGTGGGGTTGCAAGGACATATTTATTCATTTTTCATTATGAATACACTGCAAGCTTCTCAGATTCTGTTTTGGGAAATTCCTAGAGATTTGGGGGTGGCATTGCGGAGGGTGGAGTTTGGGGAGGGACCTCAGCAGGGTGAGGTGCCGGAGAGTCCACCCTGGGGATGTATATGAGCAAGGCAAAAAAAGGAGGGAGAGGCACATTATATTCTTAGAAGCTAACAGGCTATTTTATTTATTTATTTATTTCTCAAATTTCTACCCCGCCCTCCCAGCCAAGGCCGGCTCAGGGCGGCTTGCGTAAAATCAGCCTATATTTGCAATAAAACAATTAAAACATTTAAAACAATGCTAAAACTAGTTAACAATAACACAGTAGGTGCTAGTATTGTTGTTGCTGGATCAACGATGGCTACCGTATTGGTTCTTTCTTCCCATAACCGGCTCCTAGATCTACTTCAGGTGTCTTCCAGGCGGTTAGCACAGGCTGATGTTACAAAGTCCAGAGACAGCAGGGCTTACTACCCCTCAACAACTAGTTGTTAATGAAGTTGAATGGTGGTGGTGGTGTAAAATATTACTGTAGCACAACAACAGCCCAGTCCTCAACGATATGCAGAGGGGGCCTCAGTCGAGTTATTAGACAGTAATAAAGCTGGTCAGTGTTAAAGGGCAAGTAGACTTAATGGACCAACCTAGTCCTTCTGACTGAAAAGAAAGCAGGGGTGGGAGTGCTGAATCCCCCCCCCCCTACACACACACTGTGCCTTTCCAACTGAAACTATTTCTTTAGGGTGCTGTTCTCCTACTGGATTTACTTTTTATAGAAAGCTCCGATGAGAGAACACAAATTCAGGGAGGAAAGTCTTTGGGAGGCAGGGTTGGATAGTATGAGAATAGGGAAGAGGAATGGGGGCAAGTGGTCATAACAATGAATAATGGAGGAGACTTTTTTGGGGGGAAATAATCCAGATAATCCCATCACAGTTTAAGTTGTTTTGAACTGTGGAAGGAATAAAAAATGACTGGAAGAAAAAGAACTTGAAGAAGAGAAAGCAGAGTGCACAAGAAGTCATCTTTCCTTTTGGTGAGGCACGACTCAGGTGCAGGTGTAGTTTTATGGGGAGCAAGTAGCAAATGCTGACGCAAACTTGTCCAATATGAAGATGCTTTGCTGGTGTTGCCAAGTGCAGCTCATCCACCAATAACATCAGCTTCAAGGTCAAGCACTTTGTCTCTTGTACAATCCTATGCATTTTCTATTCAGAAATAATTCTCACCGTGTTTCCATGGACGTAATTCCAGGTGAGTCTGCACAGGATTGTGACCTTGAATTGTTGGGCAGATTCTTTCTAGTGTTTGCTGCCGGTCAATATGGCTTGATTTATGATGTTCAGTGGCATATTGGTATTGAGCAGAGGACAGATCAAAGTATAAGGCAGTCCTGCATAAAATGGAAAGGTCGGAGGTGTATGGCCATGTTAAAATCTTTAGGACACGATTACTTCCATCGTTCTAATGCAGAGGTGTCGAACTCATTTGTTATGAGGGTCAGATCTGACATAAATGTCACTTTGTTGGGTTGGGCCATATGTGCCATAAAATGTTACACAAGGTACTGGAGATATAAAGTTTATAAAGATGATTTCAGATGCCAAATAACAATAGCAGGCATCATTGGATTTGGTGTGATGTTCAGTGGGTGGGGATATCTGGAAACCTAGGTCTCTATTTGGTCCAGGAGGATTCGGTCCAGGAGGATGCAAAGAATAAATGGCAATAAGTCTGAAGAAGTGAGCAGTGACTCACAAAAGCACATACCCTATCACAGTTTTGTTAGGCTTTAAAGGTCCTATTGGTGTCTTACTCTTTCTACTACTATTAGAAACCACAACATTTAAAAACCAACCCTCCAGGGCATTCAGTTGCTGACCTAAGAGTAGCAGTTCTCTTATAAAGGAATTTCAAAGGGAAATTAGAAAGAGAAGCTCAAGACAGTGCAAACTCCTGGACAGACCTGAGACCTAGGTTCTTTCTCATTACCAATGTCTGCTATTGGCTTTTGGCGTTTGAAATCACTTCACTCTCCAAGATATAAGGACAGATGGACTCACATTCCAGCTGTATCTGAAGAAGTGAGTGGTGATTCATGAAAGCTCATGCCCTGTCATAAATGTTAGTCATTAATTTATTGTTTATGTATTTATTTATTTTATTTCATTTATACCCTGCCCTACCCGCACGCAGGCTCAGGGCGGCTTACACAGGCACAAAAGTGCGATAAAAATACAAGAAGTTAAAACAATTAAGGCACAAGTGCAGTAAAAGTCAACAGTTAAAACAGTTTAGGCAAAAATGCACATCTCACAGGATACATAATGACTACAATACTTACTCCCTATTGCATATCCCAATGGGGTCAAAAAAGGGGGGGGGATGCCATGGGCCACAATATTTCAGCTGGCCAGTCAGCTCGACGCAGCGGAACTGCTCTGCAGTCACACGGGGGTGGTAGTGGCGGCGGCGGCGGCTCCTACTCAAAAGCCTGGTGGAAGAGCTCCATCTTGCAGGCCCTGCAGAACTGTACCAGGTCCCGCAGGGCCCTAATCTCCTCCGGGAGCTCATTCCACCAGGTAGGAGCCGCCACCGAAAAGGACCTAGCCCTTGTGGCTGCAAGCCTGGCCTCCTTGGGGCCCGGGGTCACTAGGCGGTGTTGTGACCCCG